ATACAAAGGTGTGGGGTGGTTTTCTCTATTCAAAAGTGTGCTGGTGTTAAATAGGAAGAGGGTTAGCTGATTTCTGTCCCAATGTTCTCTCTCTGTTTCTTTGAGAATGGGGAACTTATTGATGGCTTTCTGGCTCACCATCGCAGGTCACTTCAATGCCTTCTGATACCTTAGCCACAGGGTCAGGACAGTGTCCAGGACTCCTCTGCTAAGCTTGTCCCAGCTGAATGTGGCCTGAGAATTCACAAGAGGCTACAAAGAACATAGGCTTCAGAAGCAGGTGGATATGGCAAATGGGTCCTGGGCAGTCTCTAGAGGATGTTGGGTGGAGGTTCATGATTCTCCAAAACGAGAATGTGGTGATTTGGCTTAGGTGAGCGAATAGTCTGCTTCACAATTAGCCATATAATTGCCCAAAACAAACACACTGCAGATCCTGGTTGAGTTGGACAGCCAGGCACAGTAGATGTAGTCCTACCTCTTTGGAAAACTGTGATGCTGTTAGTCTTTCCTTGTTTCATTTGGCAATTCTGGGAATAAAATGATTTTTGCAGAACATTCTTGAAAGAGCATTCTGTATGCGTCACTGACACACACTTTCCATAAGTCTAACATTGCTGAAGTTTTAGTTGGTGCTAGCAGTTTCTTGTATTCACCCAGAGAAAGAGGTTCCTGAGTGTGTCTTCACATTCGGAATGGACTGCCAAGAAGGGTGGTGGAGTCACTGTCCCTGGACATGTTTAAGGAAAGACTGGATGTGGCACTTGGTCTAGTTGGCGTGGTGATGATGGGCCATAGGTTGGACTCGATGAACTCAGAGGTCTTTTCCAACTTAAATGATTCTGTGATTTCAAGTGTCTGGCCTTTCCTGATTCCCTAGCAGCCAACACAACATTATTGCGTGCTCAAAGTGGGATTTGGCATCTGATTTGAAAAACCACTGATAAATTTTGGGGTTTTCTGAATAAAGACTGAAATTATTGTAAATCAATTATTTTTTTTCTTTCCTGACCTTTGAGTTCTTTTGCTTATTCTTCATAGATCAGTGCAGGTGTGACTCCGTCTTCTTGCCCTGAGTGAGAACGCTTTCATATTCTTTGCTATGCACATAAAAGAATTAAATGGGACTCCAATGGGACAATGTTACCAGGCACAGTGACTCAGGCTGGTCAGAAACGATGCAGCTAGACAAGTGTTTGTCAACTGCTTTTGAACTAAGATTACACAACCTTTGAAAATAAGAGTTGGCTCAGACCATTATACAGTATTGCCAGGATGAGTTTGACTTCCAGCCAACCAAAAATGTCTCAACATGCTGGCAGTTTATTTCACATACTTACTTCCTCTCAAGTTCACTGTCACGGATGTGATGATGATGTGTGTGTGCCCCCTTTATTAATTACATATGTGGTACTGTTTTCTGGACCACCTTCTGATGCTCTGTGGAATCTGGAAAAAAGTCACTTTAATTGAGTTACCTGCAGTTAGGCTTTGACATCAGTCACAACCAGGCATGAGGGAGCCAACACTGGCCCTGTGAATTAATAGGTACATGAAGAACTGTAATGGAGATGGGGAAGAAAAGCTTTCCATTGGCAGGGAACAGTTGCTCGTGTAATACACAGATCCTTTGTTCATGTTCAGCTTTGTCATCTTTGCAATAAAATTGGTCAAGAGATTTCCTTTTCCACAGTGCCAGAAACAGCTCTCAATGGACAAACCTCACACCTTTCTGTTCTTGCCAGCCCCTATTTCAGATGAGGAGTAGTCTGTCTTCTGTGCTGCAGTTTCAACTTCAGAGGCAGAACTCTTTCTCCCCTTTCTTCCTGCCCTCTGATCTGCAGCTTCCCCCAATCTCCCTTTCTGAGGCAATACTACTCCCCAAGCACCTAGCCTCCCAGTCATGCCTGACTCCTTTCTGTCCTAGCTATCACCTAATTTTCCGTCACTACCTTGATATTTATGGTCTGATCCTCTTCTCCCAGTCCTTTGGTGAAAAGGCTTTATCCAAGCCATGATCCTTCAAAGATAAAAAGAAAACTTGAAAAAAGAGTTTGGTTCTCAGCTCACAGTGGCATAAAGCAGGAGAAAGAATACTGAAGCTAACAGAGAGACAATCAGAAGTGAGAACCAGGTTCACAGATTCAAACTGTTAGTTTTCCTTGGTTCACACTGCCGTCTCCACAGATCCAGCAAGATGGCATAGGAAATCAATACTCATTCACTATGTTCAATTTCTGCACTTTTAAGGTAAGACTTTTCCTCTTGCTGGAGGACATACTTTCCTGTAGTCAGGGCAGGTATTGCCAAACACACATGGATGTGTTTTCAAGAATAACTGGGACTATGTAACCTCACAAGGTTTCTGATATTCTTAGATATTTCTGAGATCTGCTGGCCAAGGCCAAATTCTGCTTGCTTTAGTTGTGAGCACAACTCCTTTGATGAGGCTGAGCAGAAATTGTCACCACTTCTGCCTCTTAACAAAATTCATCTATTATCAGAGAAGGGGTTCATGCCTTCTTTAAGTCCTGGTTCTGAACCACAGTTGAGAAGTTAGTGACTTACTCTTTTTGCTTTGTAATACCATGTTTATTACTGATAATAAGGAGAATTATTTAATGACCAGACATCTTACAGCTCTGCAGCAACGCATTTATTAATGCCAGAAATGTTTATACTCCAGTTATGCCTCGGAGATTTCATCTAAAAGTCTTGAGCTTGGTCATTTTTTTTGTTGTGTGTTTTGTTGTTGTTGTTGTTGTTTTGTTTGGTTGGTTTTTGCTTTGTTTTGTTTTGTTTTGTTTTAATTCTCCTCCCTCCTCTTTTTCTTTTTTTCTATTTTTTCTTTCTCCTTTTCCCCTTTCTTTTTTTTTTTTCCCGTCTCCCCACCCCCTGAGACCGGTTTCCACACAGAGGAAGAACGCGTTCTCTCTCAGAAGAATATTTAAGTTTCTCAAGACATGGGGAAACGCATCCTCCTTGACCCGCGAAGATGAAGGTGCAGCTTTACCCTCTCCAGCCGCTCTTCCCCTGTGCCCTTGCAGACCCACGCGACGGATACCTCCGGTGAGGATGGTAAACGAGCCGTCCGGGCCGTTTTTCCATCTCTTCCTCGGGATGCAGCTGCTGTCGGGGCTGTGTGGGACACGCCGAGGGCCCTTTTTAGCCCCCCGCCGCCCCTCGGTGGGCGATGCGCGGGAGTTCTGCTGCCCTCTCCCGGGGGGATGCGGGCAGCCCGACCGTGCCCGGGGTCCGCACTGCGGGGACACCCCGCTCCCCGTGGCAGGACGGCGGGGGGCTTTGGTCGCCGGCTGGGCCGAGGGCGGCTTAGGGGCGGCAACCGACCCCTGTTCCCGTCTCCTGGCTGCGGGTTCCGGCTTGGTGCAGGCAGCACCGCCGCCCCAGGCTTTCTTGGTGCTGAGGCTGCAGCCCTGCTAATGAGCTAAGGAAAGGTGACCATCTTCTGGCCCGGCGGCCACCGGGACACAGGCGTCCTGCTAAGCAGCTTCAGGCTTCCACACGTAGTAGCCTTGCTAGCCATAGTTCCCAGAACAGCAGTCCCCGAGCAGCAGGGACTGGCGTCGAACAAAGGCTCGGTGGGACCCGCTCGGAGACTGGGCAGAGGGGCTCTGAGAAGGTCCAGGACCCAACCCAGGGCTCTCGCCCTGATCATTTGCAAGTACAGGCAATGCGGTACTTTTTAAATCAACTCTCGCATTTCTCTGTGTCAAACTCATGATGTGGTTTTAATTTGTTTTCATTCATTGCTTTGGAAGCCTGTTCTTCAGAGCTGAGGCATTCAGCCCACTCAGAGAAGCCAGATGCTCTCTGTTGGGTGCTCTTCAACTGCCTGATGGCATCTTTATTGCCTTTACTGTTGTGTTTTCACAAATCTAGCCTGGATATTTACATGCTGTGACATTTGATACATGACTGGCATAAGCCAGCACTGGGTGGGCCGGGTGACATGGAGCTGCTGGAGCTGGGTACGACTGTGTCTGTGGGGAGTTTCAAACAATCCTGAACTCCCAGCAGCTACCACTGTTGTGGCACCGTCAGCCAGCACTGTCTCCTGTCACCGGTACCATGTGTGCAGTACTGAATCAGCTGCAATAAATGGATAGGGCCATTTCTACTTGGCTCTGTTGTTCCTGAAGGCACCGTGCTATGGAATTGCAGGGCTCTGCTTTGTCTCTCTGGTGCTACTGACCAGAGCACTATAAACCCCAGACTCAGTCAGAAGCCCATGGAAATGGCTGAAAAGAGTTTTAGTCGGATGGGACAGGTATGGGGTCAAGGTGCTGCTAGATAGTCTGGCACTTCAACCCCCAGTGAGGGGTTACCTACTGCTCTACTCACTTCTCCTGAGCCGAGCAGAAGAGTTTTCCTTTGATGGCTGCAGTTTTAGTCAGAATCAGCCACGGGGAAGTTTGGAGCTAGGTACCAGCAAAGGTGGTACCTGAACAAAGGTGTACAGCTCCAGACAAGATGTGGGAAATATGTTGCCTGAAGAAAGTTGCAGTTTATTTCTCCATCACCAACTCTTTCTCTATTTTGGGGATTTTTTTTTTTTTTATTTGTTGCTGTATTTCAGCATATTTTGAAGTCGCTTCCCATGCCGCAGATACCCTTCGATTCCCTTCTCGGTTGGAGAGAGCGCTAAATGGATGAAACGCACGGCACAGACACCGCGCTCCACGCGGAGCGGGACGCATCCGACGCAGGTGCATGCCGCGGGCACAGGTACAGTCCCTACGCGCTCCGGGCCCTGCGGACGCCCTAGAGCCGTGTCCCGGGAGGAGATCCCGGGTCGGGATGCTGCTCCGAGCCCCGGCGGCTCCCGCCCCGCCCCGGGCCGCGCCCCCGGGGGCCGGCCAGCCTCCACCCCGCCCCTTGGCCCCGCCCCCTTCACCGCCACAGCCAATGAGCGGCGGCGCCCCGCGGTGGGGGCGGGTCCTCTCCCGGCGCGGCACTTCCGGTTCCCCGGCGCGGCCGCCATGGCGCCGCCGCGGTGCCTCCCGGGGGTGCTGCTGCTCGCCCTGTCGCTCGCCCCGCTCGGCCCCACCGCCACCGCCGCCACCGCCGAGGAGGAGCCGCGCTGGGCCCCGGCGCTGCAGGCGGCGGAGGGGCTGGCGGAGGAGCTGTGGGGCGCGGGGCTGCCCGGCGACCTGCCCGAGCTGGAGCCCGAGTGTCGCAGGCTGCTGGCCGCCTTTGCGGAGGGCAGCGCGGCGCTGACGGACTGCCTGGGCCGGCGCGCCCGCCCGGTGCGGTTGTGCCAGGGCTGCCACCAGCACTACCGCCGCCTGCTTGCGCTGTACGGCGGCATCGCCCGCGCCCTCGGGGTGCGTCCGCCGGGAGTGGGGGGCGAGGCTGCCGGGGCGGGGCTGTGGGCCTGGGCCTTTCCCTTGGGGCTTTCAGCCGTGGGAGTTCTGCGCCGGAGCACGTCGGGTGGAGGTGGGAAGGCAGTCTGGGAGCCTCACCAGGTTGCGCAGGTCAGCTTGGCAGAGGCTGGGAGTGTGTGGGAATCGCTGCTGCCGGTGACGGCCGCCTCCCGCTTCGTGGGGCGGCGTGGTCCGTGTAGACAGCTCGTGGCGTGGCCAGAGGCAAGGAGCTCTACCTGCAGAAAAAAGCTGTGCGAGTGGAAAAACTTGAGTTGTTCTTGCTGAGGTAGCAGTGACTGGAGCGGTGCTCTGGCTTACATGTCGTATAGCACTAATGGGGAACACTGCCAGAGCTTAGTTGCCCGACACTCCTTGGAAAATGGATGGTCTCTGTAGCTGTGCCGAGTGATGCACGTCATCGGTGAGGAGCCATGGCATGGTTTTCTTGGCTCCGAAGGTGATGGGAGTGTGTGGCAGCAAACTAGAAATCTTGAGCGCTGGCTGGAGTCCATGCACTCTCCTGGTGGGAGAACCTTGACTGAAGCTGGGGGTCTTCAGACTTTGATCATACTTTGATTAGTTTTTTTTTTTTTTCTTTCATTTCTTAGTGTTGGATGTGGTTCATGGCTTGTTTTGTTTGCTCTTGCCCAGTTTATCCATTTGTAAAAGTTAGCTCCTGGGATGATGCTAGGATGACATTAGTGGGTCAGAGGACCTTTGATCTGTGATGAAGTGAGTGCCCTGTTAAGAGAGCACATTTATAGCAGTGTGTACCCTGGACTGTGCTTCCAGTCTTGGGATTTCTGAATCCCAAAGTTTAGAATTGCCACTGACAGGAAAAATCTGTTGCTTTTTAAACCCAGGGAAACTTCAGGTGATGCAGAGTCCAGCTGCAAAGCCTTTCACAGCTTAGTTACCTGCTGTTGGAAAAGTGTTGCTTTTGGGTGGTGTTGAGTTGTTTGCCCGGTTCCCCTCACCACCCCAGTGCTTGTATTGGAAAAGTGCATGGATGTTCACTTGGTAATTGCCCTTTCCAGGGCAAACATGTAGCCACTGGTCTCTTGTTTTAGTTTGCAAGCATGTAGTCTGTTTTATCTGTTTCTCTTATGGAAGCTGTTTGTACCAGTGACTGGATAGTGTGAAAGGGTGAATTTAGTATGCAATTCTCTTGGGTACTTTTAGCATGATATTTTGGCTAGGAACAGGCTGCCAAACGTATTCCAGTACTTTGAATATGTCTGTACACACTGTAGCTGCTGTGCTTGAGCACTGGCAGCCTGGGAGGACTGGTCCACTCTGTGGTCTGGAAGACACATCTGTGTGAGAGAACGTTTGTCTTTCCTTCTGTGTGTGGATTAACTAACCAAGTAAATAAAGGAGGTGACCTCTTGCAACCTCAGTCCACTATTGCAAGTAGTCAGGTATCTGGTGTTTTTATCTTAACAATAGTTAGAGTGCAATGTGACAAGGGCAGCCAACTTGAGCTTTGGACATCTCTGAAATGTAAAATCCTCCTCACTAGGCTAATTAAAGAATCAATTAGGCAAACATGCTTAAGGAATTATTTTGGTCTACTTGATTCCGTTTTGATAAAGTGTTTTTTCCTATTCATGAGCCCAGGTGGTGAGGAAATTTCACAGTTAGAGGCCTTTGTGAAGGAACCAGAATTTCCCAGATAAGCAACATTCTTGCATATCTGTAACTTAGTAGAAATGAATGTCGGTGAGCCCAGGAGTTACCAGATATGGCAATATTTGACTTCTGCAGTTGAGCCTCCAAAGGAAAGTTCTTGTTTAACCCACCCCTCACCCCATTTTAACAAAGAGAGGCAAAAAGTGGATCTCTTGTAAAGCTCTGTAAGGAACAAGTTTCTCATTAAAGAGATTATTTTTTTCTATGTCCCACGTCACTTATCAAAGAGGCTTTTGGCAGCTTTGGCAATTTTGAGAAGTGCTTAAGTCAATTTAGCAGCCAGAAACCAGGAGCCAGAGCACGGCAGTCAGCTGACTGGAGGTCATGGTTCCGTATCTGAATTCTGATCAGGAGACTTCCTGTTTATTCTGTAGCTGCTTTTATAGTTGATCTCCACTTTTTTATGGGCTTGGTCCAGAGAATAAGTTGCTGTATGAGTTGTGCCAGAGCCTGTTGTGAGGTGTTGGGGTGGCTTGCCAAGAGAGATGAGCTTGGTGCCTGTGTGTGGGGAGGATGAGAGCCCATCCTGGGCAGAGACCTGCGGCAGTGAGTGCAGGCGCTGCTTCACAGAGGACTGTTCCTGGTGTTGCTGCACTGGGGGGAAGTTTGCTGTTGGTACAGTGGTTTTGGAGGCTGTTTTTCTGCTGTTCGGGTTTGGTTTTTTTGAGGCCACTCCATTGCTTCAGCTCCTTCAACTGTTTCTTCTGTCTAACGAGAACAACCCTGTCCTTTCCTCTGGCTGCACATGCCTTGAACTGGCTCCTGGGGTAGCGGCCCAGGAGTGGATGAATATGAGCCACCTGGCAGAGAAGGCCCTGTCTCTGTGCTTGTTTTTTTCTTTTTCTTTTGTCGTGTATTTTTGACTGACTTGTGTGCATTTCCTAGTAGGTCTTCAGAGACCATGTGCAGTAAGCTGTGTCACTCATAGTATGAGTTGGAGGATCAAAAGATTTTTGTTCTGTCTGTTCTGCCCTGCCTTTTCTGGAAATATTGATGCGATGTGTCGTGTGACTGTTTAGCTGTGCTTGTGCAAAACGTGTTTCAAATTTTTCCCTTCATATTTTTAACACTTTTTCGCTTCTTTTGTTTCTTCCTTTTGTTTCCAGAATTCTTCTGAGAGCCACAATTGTGCCAAAAGCATCTTGACCTCAGACAGGCTGCAGATAGTTGTGACCCTTTCGGAGTTCTTTAACGAAACCTGGGAGGCAGCCAACTGTGCAAGTACGTGACTCATTCTGTAGCTTTTGTGCTGCTGTTATGACTTAGCCCCAGAATTTGAACAGGTCAGAACTCTACTTATTTGTTTGAATACAGTCAGTAGATAACATGCAAATCCTATCCTATAGCCACTCCAAGAGTGTTTTCTTCTGTAAGGGCCAAAATTTGAGGGCAGTAATCTGTTGGAAAATTGAATTGTTATATAAATATTTCTTTCAGATTAATCTTTCAAAAAGTAGTCTTGCTAGTTTTCCTTGTGATTTACTTTGCTGGAGAATATTTTTTAGCTCATTGTTGTTTCTCCTCTTTTTCTGTCTTTCAGTTTTTAAAAAAAAACTTGTGTAAGAATCTTTTCCTTGTTTGTTAGTAAAGTTATTAACTCTGGGATCCTTACATGTTGAACAGTACCTGCCTCCACAGCCATGCTTTTGATTTCATTTTATGGGTGGAGGGTGTCTGAGTGTATACTTGCATCTCATGGCCTGATGCTGATGCTGCTGTGCCATCCTAGCAGCTAAACTGGCTGTTTGCCATTCTCCTGGTGTGCTAGGTGGGACCCTGCACGGACAGGTGCGCTAGGAAAGAGTGGGAATGGCACTATGGAGTTGAGTGGTAAAGATGCTGGATTTGCTGAAGAATCTTTTGAGAGCCCAGAAGAGTTTGTTTTCATTTGTGAGTCTGGGCTGTGTGAGGGCTGGAAAGGCAGAACAGGAGCAGCTCTGTGGACTGTTCTGTCCTGCCATGCTCAGCCTGTGACCTGTGTGCTGCCTGCCCGGTGCCCAGCTGAATGCTTGCCCTCACTGCTGATAACATTTGGTTCTTTCAGGAGCATTTTCTAGGATGTTGGCTTGCTCTCACAATGCTGTTGCTGAACACCTAAATTCCCAAATACTCTTGTTTTCAGAGGTTTGGCTGGTTAGAGCACCTAAAGCAGGGTAGGATGGATGGAAGCAGTAACATGGGTTGAGCCTATGACTAGGAGGAAAGCCCCAGAGCTCCCCTCAAAGCTGGTGAAAAGCTCAGCTCTTTTCTTAAAGAATAATAATCTACACTGTGATTTCTACTATTGTGTTTGTGGTCTAGCTGTTTCCTGGGTGCTCTCCGTTTCATCTCCACTGCTGGTGCACAAAATGGCTGCTACTGTTGCTGGGCAAAGCCAGATTTGTAGGCTGGAAAATAAAAGTAATGTCTTGTTTTATCTCAAAGTCCAAAGATAATTCAGTCCCCCTCTTCAGAAAGCTCTTGATGATAGTCTTCATCGTTCACTTAATCAAGGCCAATTAATTCTGAAAAGTGTTCTCGATGAAGAGTTAGGTCAGCAGGTCTGAGACATCAGTGGCAGGCAGATGAGGAACCGCAGTGTTGACTAGACCTGTCTTTTATAGTCGAGAGCTCTTTCTACAGGACTGGAGTGTCTGGGGCTTGCCAGCTGTGGAAATGTTAGGAATTAGAATATCCTGATGTTTTTCTTTCTCTTTGACAGATTGTTTAAAGAATAACAGTGAGGGATTATCGAATTCTACTGAAGAATTCCTGGATTTATTCAATAAATCTCTGACATGTTTTGAACATAACCTTCAGGTATTTGTGCTGTGTATTTAAGAGAAGCTCTAAATCCTCTAATTGCTACCAAAATCTTATTGATGTTGAATAAACCGCAGATACAGACCAGACAAATAAATTGCTGCTGAGTCTGTGAATTGTAGGCAGATAAAGGAGTGTTCTGTAAAATGCAGTTTACAGATTGAGAGCCTAAAATTAATTCTAATTGATACTCACCTTGACTTCATTTCGTATGTAATTGCAATGCTACATCACATCAGAATATCTGAACTCACTGTAGTTGATAATTATACAGTAAGAAATGTCATGTCTGCATTCTGTAAGTCTCTTTTTCTTTCATTTTTTTAGAATTGTTGTGTTTTGGCATAGAAATTCAGTCTTTGAATATCCTTTTGATAATATGGACTAGTTCAGAAAGGCCAGATACCTTAAATTGTTGTAACATTTCTTTTGACTCTTAAAATTGCGGGTAGTTAAAGTTTGGCCATATAGCAAAGGCAATATAGCTTCCTTAGTGAAATAAATATGGTAATTATCCTAAGAGAAAATGCCCTATTATAGCCTAAGAAATGGTGCATATTCCATTTCAATCAGAAACTAGCCAAGTTATGGGATCATTCAGTAGTAGAAATGGAAAGTGATGGGTATGGGGCAATCTCTGAGGGAACTGCTTCTTTATCATTAATGCTTTCTAGGAAATGTGCCTTTATGGGCTGTGTTCATTTTATAGGCCTTGTTCGGCATATTGATCACTTCAAGTGTGTAAACTAGAACTTAACCCTGTGGTCAGTGGGTAGCTGATACAGCCATTACTGTGTTGAAATATCTTCAGAGACTGTGGTTTTGTTTTTGAGTGCATTCAGGAGGTGCTGAAGGCCACAGATGAAAAGGGTTACTTAGTATGGCACCGTCTGTCCCTGTCAATAAAGCTCAGCAGTAGCAACCTAACAAATCAAACCAATTTTTTTGTAGTGCCTTAAACCAACATTCACACAGAGTTTTATAACCCTAGGTACAAACCGTTTATCTGTCACCAAATAACTACACAGAAGTGTGTAAGAACTGCAATGAAACCTACACAAGGTTGAATGACCTGTATAACAACTTGCAGAGGATGAACAGGCAAGGTGGAGAGTCTGGGCACTCAGCACACTTGTGTATTGATGTGGAAGATGCAGTAAGTGTTTATTAAGACTCAACACGGAGGCGTGGGGGTCTTTATTAATCTCAGCCATTTGTGCTCGTCTGGCCAGGGATTCCCTTTTCCCTTTGGGTGTGGGGCAGCAGTGACTTTGGCAGGCCGATGTCCCACGGTGGGAATTTAGCTTGGTGGGGCTGCCTTGCTGGGTCCTGTCCTCAGTCAGGGCTGCAGGAGCGTGACTGAAGCTCCTGATCTCTTGAGCGCGTTCCAGTTTGAACTGAATAGCCGCACTTTCATTTCTTGTTACTGTGAAAGGGATGGATTTAAAAAAAAAAACCCAAAAACAAAACTCCTAATCTTCTAGCTTTTAATATGAAGCTTTACTGCTATTGTTCAAGCTGGTGTATTAATTGATTCCTTATTGCAGCAGCTGTTTCTAGAGGTCCTCAGCACTGATGACATATGTTTGGAAAAAGCTTCTGTATATTGTGGGGGTTTAAGTGACTGGGCTAAAGGAGTGCTTGTCAAAAGTATGGAATTAGTCCTGTCCCCACAGGCTGTCAGTGAGCTCTTTGCCACATGCCTGTTTCCCAGTGTCTGCGTGTATCTGAGTATAGTTGTGTTTTTGAAGCTGGTAAAAGTTTTGATATGAAATCTTGGCCTTGTCTAAATTGTCTGTTTCTAGATTTCCAGGGATTTTCTTGCTTTTGGGGGGAGTTCTGTTAAAGTGCTGTTTTCTGAGGTGATATTTGAACACTTGAATGCCTCGAGGTCTGAGTGTTTGCCGTGCCATGCTGCACAGAAAAAATGCATGTGCTTGTTTTCATGGTTTGCTTATGTTTTCCTTTTAGATGAACATCACTCGGAAGCTTTGGAGCAGGACTTTCAACTGTTCTCTTCCCTGCAGTGACACAGTCCCAGTGATTGCAGTTTCGTCCTTTATTCTCTTCCTACCTATTGTTTTTTATCTCAGTAGCTTCCTCCACTCAAAGCAGAAGAAACGGATACTCATTTTGCGTAAGTGGTGGTGTTGGCATTTCACTGTAAGAGCTGGGTGGTGCCAGGGATTCGCTTGGCTCGTGTGGGAGAGGGGCCCAGCCAGATCTGCCTGCAGCTGTGCTGACGGCGCTAATAGCAACTATTAGTCTGCTGCTGTCCCCTGAAGAAGGGTAGTAAAGAGCTTCAGCCGCATCTTTTCATTAAAGTTTCTGGACGTGAACAGAAAGCTGTTTGCGAGTCTGTGTCGGATAAATAGAGGGAGTGGAGAGACTGGTTTTGTGGAATTCTTAGTGTTTAATTTTCATATAATTTTTCCCTTTCTAGCCAAGCGCATCCAGTCAAATGCCAGTCTTGTGAACATCCAAGAAAAATACAGCTGAGCTGCAAAACAAAACCTGAGAACTGCTGCTGGTATACAGTGGGTACAATTGTGTTGGAATGAGGCCGGCACAAAAGAGGAGTTAATTATGGTTTAGTGTAATGATACAGAGCAACACAAGTTAAACAAAATGCTGTCTGACTTCTAAGCGAGGATATTAACAAACATGACAAGGCAGGGCTGTGTGACACTGTATGGACTCTGGTTTTGAAAAATCTGTGGGTTGGTTTTTTTTTTTTTTTTCAGTCTCGGGCTGAAGCGGGTGTTTTTCTGTTTCTAAGCTTTTGTAGTTCACATCAATAGACTAGCTACACTTTCCTTGCGTGGTGTTTTCCTATATTCATCATATTTGTTTCACAAAAACCTGAGATTTTGAATCCTTTTGAGGTGATTTTTGAAAGACAGACAAAACTTGAAATAATGTTTGATGTTCCTGCTTAAAACATTATTTCTAATTTCACATAATATTCAGAATTAGGATGGACAGAAAACCTTTAAAAAAGAAAAAGTTCCCATCTTTCCTGTACCACTGTAAGGTCATGCTTTAAAAGCATGGGATCTGTTAAAAAAAAAAAACAACACACAAAACCAAAACAAAACCAAAAAGGCATGAAAAATGAAGAGAAAGTGGTAATATATAGTGTCCAAAACAGCAACAAAAGCAGCACAACTGCTAGTGCTGGACTTGAATAGTAATCATTGATGGCTACAGTATTCAGTTATCTCTGGAACAGGTGGCATATTTAGTCTTTTGCACACTTTAACCACTATAATAATTGCTTTTCAAATGCTATATTTTCAGAGGTTTATTTTATGTGTCTGCTTGGATAACGATGTTTCACTGTCTTTATTGTGCCGTTTTCTTTCCTTTTTAATTATAAAATGTTCTGGGTTTTTTTTAATGTTTTTGTAGAGGAGAAGTGAGGTAGAGTCAAGTCACTGGAGATGCTGGACTTCCTGTTCTAGAACTTGCTATGGCTTAATGCAGAGGTGTTTACAGGAACTTTGTAGGGGAGAAGTCGCCTTTTCTAGATAATATTTGTTTTAGCAGTAAGTGAACCAGAGGGTTCTCTAACTTAAAAAGTGTTCTGAAGGACAATGAATATACTGTGCTGGAAATTGGTGACTTTCAAGAAATAGTGTAAAAATATTATTCCTGTGAAATAGATGGATGTAAACAAATTTGAGCTCGCAGAGTTCCAAAGCTGATGGAGAAATTCGTGCAATAACTGCAGGAATGGGTAGTGCTTCTGTCACTCTGTGGGCACAATTCAATGGCTGCAGCAATACTGGCCGTTCAGGTTGTTTATTGTATTTCTGATTTGGGAGAGTGGTGGAATTGAAATGACTTACAGCAGTACCTGGGGTTAATGAATGTCAGAGTCTTTGCTCCAATTTTTAAATATGTTTTCTAATCTTGAGATTAAAAAATAATGGCCATTACAGCTAAAAAAATTCAAATTTCTCTTGCAATCTGTGTCTGATGTCTGTCAAAACCCCACATGAAATTGTCTTATGTATTTGATTTGCTTTGGAGCCTATAATGTTAAATTTTTCCTTTACTCTAAGGCTCAAATAAATCTATAACAGTGTAACAAAACAGTCCTAAAGCTCTTCAAATCATTTTTCTTTTTTTTTTTTTTTTTCCTGTTAGGACATACTGTTTATTTTGAAGTCAAGTTAACAGTATGTTTAATAGTAAGTAAAATACTGTGTTAGCAATTGGTCCCACCCACAATTGCCTTTTTGTGTTTTACCAGTAAGAAGTATCTGTCTCCTGCTGCTTAACATGTGAATTATGAGATCAGCTTTGTTTTAGGTAGCTTACAACAATAACATAAACCTGTTTCTCTTGCTTATTCCATAAAGTTATCTTCATGTGGCTGGGACAGGCATGCTGCCTTTAAATTAAAAAAAAGATTATTTTTTTATATCTATTATTCTTAAACTTCAACTTTCTGGGACTTAATTCAGCTGCCTGCTCTAATAGCATTACATTGATTTGGGACATCATATGATTGAGAGCTGTTCAAAGGAATCTTTCATTCGTGCAGATAAAGCCAGTTTGAATGTGCAGCATTTCAGAATGACAGCTTTTATACTGTAAGCAGTGGCTTTTTGAGCACATTCATGTTAAGTAGGTCTGAAAGTCATTACTTTTGGATATGGTGGTTAAGCACTTTAAAAAAAAAATCAGCTTTTCTTATTTTCCTCGCTCCTAAGCCAAACGGAAATACTCATGTGACTTTTGTTGTTTTTGATTTTAAAGCAGCAGCAAAGTTTACACTTGAGATTTTTAATAATACATCTACTATTTTCTCCTTTTTTCTTTTTTTTTTTCCCCTTACCCCAAACTTTGTACTACTAACTTTCTTTACACAGTGTTATATTTTTGGTAGGATATTTCATATATGAATTGATTGAATTATCTTTATACTCTATTTGCTAGAGAAATGTGGAAGCACACAGACTGTGTTGAAAGAGAAATAGAATTCTTTTTGCTGCTAGTCTTTCATCTTGGTTTATTTTTTGCCTTTTTGGTATTACATGTATTAAGTAGCATAAACTTTGAAATACTGATTGTTTGTATCTTTTTTGTGCAAATAAATATTTCTTACTGTGGGATGGCACTTTGATTCATATTTATACTTACTAGGAAACCTCTAAACATGGAAAGTCAGCTATAATAAAGATTGTTGATATACAATGATCAGTGTGGTTACTTATTTGCTTCATCTATAGTAGTTTTATCCTCCTGCTCTTCTGGGTTTGTGTGCAGAAGCACCTGTTTATTATTCCCCATTATCCATTTGCAGGAAAACAGCATCAGAAAGATGTTTTCAAAGCAGTGCTGTGCTGAATTACAGAGCAAATGAATGGCAACTGCTGAGAAAGGGTGGAGTTTAAGCTGGGTCAGAGCCTCCTAAGGTCTGTGGAAAGGCTCCTGTTAGTTGCAGTGGAGTTTCTCGGGTGGGTGTGCGTGAGTGAGGCCGGTGGGGATAACTTACTGTCCTTGTGGGGAGCCTTTTGGCTGCCTGCACTGGCCGCTTTCAGCTTCAGCAGGCATAGTGTTAGTGTTGGATTCCTGTTGGGCTGCAAGATTTCTTTAGAAACAGTGCAGTGCGTCACCATGCAGAGAGCCCGGTGTCTCGCCTGAGGGCAGGAGCCTTGTGCGCTAATGTTGGGATGTGGATTTCTCAAAGGCACATTTAAGTCTCAGTGCATCCCTTGCAAGGGGCTTCCAGGAAGGCTGGGGAAATTGTAATGCCGGTGCATGAGGTATGGCTTCAGCTGGACAACTAGGAACGGTTCTGGTTTGCCTGTATGTTTGGGGGAGAAGCTTGGAAGGGAGTCAGCACAGGGGAAGGGCAAGTGGGAAGAGCAGAGGATTTACCTACTGAGTGGAGCAGAGGCTCTGAGAGTAATTGGGGGTGGAAGTGGGGGTCTATAAACACACATGGAACCAAGTGCTTCTGAGGGAGAGGCTGCTCAAGTGCATGAGTGGTTGAAATATCCTGAGAAAAGAGGGTATGAATGGGACCTTGATTGCAGCTGAGCTGGTAGGGGGATGCTCTGGCTTCTTGGTGGAGGTGGGCCTGGAGCTGGAGGTAGGGAAACAGTGCAGCTGAGCCCTGGGTCCCCCACTAGTCTGTGATGGGACATGCAAGTGGGCTGCCTGCATAGGTCAGGAATGGGAGGAAGTAGTAGGATGACAACAGGGACTTGCTTCTGAGTTACTTAAAAGCAACTGCTTTCTTCTGGTAAGACACCTGACTTGTGTGATGGTGTCAAAATAATCCTGGTTCGAAGGTTCTTTACAAAGCTCCTCTTCTGAGCTGAGTGAGGATTCCTGTTTAGCACTAAACAAGGGACCTCTTCAAAACAAACCAGAAATAAATGTTTTTTTGTGTAATGGCTGTTCTTTCCATCTTTATTAAATACCTGCTACAATCACAAAATGGCTTCAGTTTCCTAATGTTTTGTTTCTAGTGCTTTCTGTCCAGTTAATCAAGTACCGTCAAATCTTTTTGTGTTTCTGCTAATTTATACCTTGGTTTTCGTGCCCTGAATATAGAGTTTCTCTGGAATGATAAAATGTGTGATTAGCAGAATCACTGCACTCCTAATCAGAATGTATGAGTAACTTACAAATTTTGTTCATATTTCATTGTGAATTTTCCTTCTGAGACTGTTGTAAGCTTTTTTTTTTGCCTGATCTTCATTGAGTTTGTACAGGATGCACATTCTGTGTCTTTGCCAGTGTCTTTACACACTGGAAGAGCAAAAGCCAGTAGATTCTGCAACTTCTCTGGAGCATTGCTTCTCCCAGCATTGTGATAGGTGTCTGTTGCTACTTTTTGGAGTCAGCCAGGATGATTTATGTGCAATTAGTGCATTAATGTGGCCTTGTGTTGTGCTGAGAGTTGAAATGCAGTTGCTATCTTGGAGGCCGTGGTCTAATCTAAGGCAAAAACAATATGGAAAGGAAGAAAACAGGGGTGAAGTAATCAGTGACCACAATCAGCTGTGTGATAACCTTTTCCAAGCACAGGTGTTTGATAGAGATACTAGCACCTCTGTTGGCCATTGTGAGGGCTCCTGGCACGGTCTGTACGCAGGACCGTGTGTGGGCTTAGGGAGCTGTCAGACCCGTGTCTTCTGCTGTGGCACACAGCTTCAGTGCTTTGCTCTGCTGGAAAGTTGGTGCTGCTCCAAGCTGGTTTCCCCCAGCACCTGCTTTGGGTCAGAGGTGGTGCCTGGGGCATTTCTGATTCGTGCTGGCTGAGGTGAGTGTATGGGAGCATCCATGAGCAGGCACATTTCTCCAGAGCTGCAGTGGGCTAAGATGGACCTTCATACCTTACACAGGTTGGAGGTGAAGGAAAAGGGATGTTTTTGTTTTGCGGAGAGATTTTGTTACTTTCAGGCTTACACAGAGAAGAAAGTGCTGTATTTTTTTTCCCCACAGACAAAACAACTTCCCAGTGAATCCTTGCTTTGGTGTTTCGGTGTATGCTGTGTGGGACAGGAGCTTGATTACTGCAAATGTCATTGGTGTTTTACCCAGAGGTCTCCACTCTACATGGACAAATTGCTGAAGCTGAGGGGAGGCCATCTGGCAACGAGGAGCCCTTTGCTCCTTTACCTAAGCCTTAACTGTGTTTCTTCTCCTGCCAGCCCTACTTTGAAACCCCTTAAAGGTCACTAAATTGCTGCTCAAGTGTGGCCATCGCCAAATGGACAGACTCCAAAAGGACCCATTCCTCTGAACTGTGGCAGGGATAGTGCCAGGGAGCTGGTGCAATGTGGGAAAGCAATATGGGAATACTCTGCAGTATAGCTTTGAGAGGAGCCTGTTGCTTGAAGTGTGAGCTAGGTTTGGGCTTTTTTACTTCTGTGCGTTGTTTGCAAAGGGGATTGGGCAGAATAGGGTTGACTGGGCATAGGGACAGCAGGGACACGGCTGCAACGTTTCTGGTGTCAGAGAGGCAAATCTGTGCCAAAGTAAACGATAACTATTTTTTAAAAATAACTTAATTAGTTGTGGCAGAAAGAAGTTAAACAGTTACATGAGCTTGGA